TTTCTGCTTGGTTGTCAAACCATTTTGCAGAATATTCTGGCTCTCCAGTTTCTTTAATATATTTAATACTTTTATGAGTTACTTAAAGCAGTGCCTTCATGAATAAGTCTAAGAAAGATGAAATGATCCTGGAAATTCCGCTCCACGTGAGAGAAGCCTTGTATTTATCTAGCAAAGAGAGTAACAAAGGCAGTATTTGCTGTGCCAGAGACTATCAATTGTAAATGTGTATGCTTGCTTCTTATTCTCAAAGTGTCAATGAACTTAACAATTCATAATAAGCAGAGCTCTTTCCAGGGCTGAAATAGATCCAGGCTTGAAGATCCCGCAGCCGTTCGTCCTGCATAGCCAGTAAACTGCCGGTGAAAATTCCCTGTCCTTTTTGGTCGGGCGGTGCTCGGAAAGAGCTTGAAGTTACTCGAATTCCCATGGCAGTTTTGAAAGATAACTGTGGCTAACTTACGTAACTGGTCTATTTTTTGGGGGGGAAAGCTGCTGTTTTCCATCCTGACCCTCCTTCAGCAGCTGGAATCGAAGGGGAGAAGAGCTGTGTGTGTCTGGCACACAACAGCGTTGCAAGGCTGCGTTGCAAATACTGCATGTTTCTCAAAGAGGAGTTGAGTTCTGTAAGCTGTTCCCCAACCAGTCTAATTTTTTATCTGTTGTAATGAGAAGGGGGAGCTCTAAAATTAGGTGTTAGTAACAGCTGCAGATCAGCTTCTCGAATCTTGTCAAAATTTCCCCATTTTGGGGTTTTCATTTGTCAAAGGTGGTTTGGCAGGTGTTGCAGGAAAATTCAGGCTAGAAATGGTGAGCTAGATTCTTCTTTCATTTACTCTTAAATATGTATCCAGAGTAACTCTGCAAATATTGGTGCAATTACTGTAGATTTACAGTAGCTCGTAGAAGGTTGAAAACAGCCTGGCGTTTATTATATATAGGAAACTGGATGGTTGTGTAGCATTTCCTGGGCTAAGTGGTCAAGCATTGGATCCAGAAGTTAGATGACATAAAGTTTTATCGCAGAACGTGTTTGCAAAGAAGTGAAAAGTTGAAACAGGGGAAGAGGAGGCGAAGTTTTGGAGGTGGGACTGAGTCCTGCGTGTTCGCAGAAAAGATTGTGTATAAATACATGGATCTGCACAACAGACAAAACTACAGGCAGACTGTTGGACTGGGTGCTTATTTACAGTTCCTGTCTCTTTTTCTCTCCTGTCACTATTAAGGAGCTCAGGAGCAATCTCTGAATTATTAGAAGAGGGCGAAATGTTGAATTTCTTTATTTTTTGCCCATCTCGCAATGTTAGGTGTGTTGGGTTGTTTTTTTTTTTAGCTGCATCTCCTGGAATCTGGTGAGACTCTCGCCTTCCATTTAAAACCAACCAAGAATTGACAACTTTCTCACCCTCCTGCTTCTAGAATGAAGTTGTGAAATGCTTCCCAGATTTGTGCAGAAGGTTCAGGCAAAAAGCCAGCTGATTTGTTGTCTCTGTAAAACGTTTCGTGTGGTTAAGTTGCTCACAGTTTTTGAACGTTCGGTTTGAAATCCTGTTTTCTTCTCAATCCATCAGTACTTCAGTGTGGATTTTTTTCCATCAGATGTCCATGTTTCAAACTTTAAATTGAGGTTATAAATTAGATTTTATCTGTGCAAAAATTGGAAGTAGTTTGTGTTAAAGTTAATTTCAGGGCAAACTGACAGATTTTGTAAGACGTGTGGATCAGCCCCAATACAGAAAAGCACTTAAGGTGCTTATTGAGCTTCCTAGAATAGGCGTATTTTCCCAAGTCCTGACTATTCTATTGATTATTCCCCCCAAAAGCAGCATGAATATACACAATGCGTGAATATTTTCGGTAAGGGTAGGATTTCTTCAGGACATACACAAGAACTTTGTGTGTCTTAAAGCGAGTAATTAATTGCAAATACAGATGGAGCCGTTGGAGCTCTGAAAATCTGCCAACTTGCATCTGCCTAGGTTTTTAAAATGTATATATATATAGCCAGAAGATACGGGCATCTTCACCGCTACGGTCTTTGTGTCTGCAGAGAGTACTCTCCCCAGCTAAAAATACGGGTGGATGTTGAAGTTATGGTAGGCCGTCGGTGCTGGGGGCTTCGCTGGCTGCCCCGCATCGCGTGCTCTGCGATACTTCTGTACTGTCCTTGAATAACGGGGCCGCTGCTGAGACGCGGGCGGGCGGGTGATTTCGGTCGATGCGGTCTGGCGCTGCCGATGTAGGGGGAGTTGTGGAGAGCTCCGAGTTGGGGACGAGGCACGGGGCTGAGAGGCTGGAGAGCAGAGTTGTATTCCCGGCCCATCGGAGCTCAGCGCTGGGCAAATCAGTTGCCCGTTGACGTAGCTGAGTTGTCTGGGCCAGCGTGGGAGTTTTTAGCTGCTGTTTGAAGAGTGCTTTGGGAGCTTCCCAGGGACGGACTGTAGGAGATCACCTCTTCGTGCTGTGCTACCGACAGCAACCTGGCTATGTCTGGGTTGGTTTTGTACGCTGAGGGCAGTGTGCATTTTTTTCAGAGAGGATAAATTTAGAAATGTTTTTGTTAATTTATTAAAAATGCAAATCTTATCTACTCCAGTGGGTGTAGTGCTAATAAAATAGTGGCGTCACAAGAGCTGAGGTTGTGTCGGTGCACAAATCGGGACCTCTGGTTTTCAGAGTGCTGATAAAGCAAGTTGAAGTGTGTCTGCTCACAGGCATCATTTCTGCTTTTCTCCATGGGTGGATGTTCACCTTGCAGATAAGGCGGCCATTTATTTAACCCAAAAATACAACCCCTGTACCTTTATTCCAAAATTAACAGTGTCTGTGCACCTGAGCTGGTAGGGAAGAACAGAGGCAGCAAAAGCTTTAGCTGAGGCAGCGCAGGCTGGCTGTGAATGCTTCATCCCCTTTTCCCCCTAGCCAGCAGATGGTTGAGGTATAGTTTGATTTTTCTGAATAAACTGAAATAGGCCTTTCTTAAAGAAAACCTATGTGGCTGTACTGGAGGGGGGCTGCACAGTTTTCAGTGTTGCTTTTTAAATGCTGCTACGAGTTCGTGTGTAGACAAGGCCCAAGAGAGTTATGGTGGAGCTATTAGAAGGGGAAGTGATTTTTTCTTAGACTGATTAAAATTCTTTGGGCTTTCTGTTTGTTTGTTTTTAAACACCTATTTAGCTTTTAATTAACATTTAAGAGAAAGGAAGCTGGTTAAATATTCAATACCTCCTCCCTTTCAATTAAGGTAGAACAGTACACAATGCGTGATGAGGCCTCTGGGAAGTATGGAAAAACAGAGAAGAGCAGGCTCCTGATTATCATTTTCAGGGGGACTGGAAAGGTGAAACCCATCTGATTGTTATTACCATTAACAATAATAATGCCAAGGCATTTTTTGAACATCGGAAAGCAGTTTGACAGTGCAATTATTCTTTAAAACTCATATGTGCTGAGTTTTGCTTTTAAATGTCTTCGCTTTTCCTATCCTGTGCTTTGCTTATTTGGGGGGCAGGGATGGGGAATTTTCTAAGCCTTTTTGGTAGCTTAGCAGGGAGGCTGCAGATGCTGGAGAAGTTACTCTTTATGCTACGTGCTGTTGTTTGCATTTTGATGCGGTTCTTTCAGTCCCAGCGAGTCGGCAGCCTCAAACCGTACGGCCCTGAAAGCTCAACTGAGCAAGTGGGAGAGGGCTGTGTTGCCGCCATGGTCTGTGCTAGGATCTAGTCTCTGCCCCTTTCTCTTCCTCCCCCCCTGAAGAATCCAGTTACCTTCTGTGAGTCTGTTATCCCTCAGAACTGCACATAAAACGTTCAGAAAAGAATGCCTCGATGAAAGAAATTGAGTGGAAAAAATATACTAGTATTTGTAATTCAGTAAATACCCTTCCTAAATTGAAATTCTTTCTTTTTGATTTTGCGTACCCTAATTTAGCTGACAAAATACTTCTTTTGTTAGCAGTCCTGTTTAAAACAGAATTATGTTAACTCAAAAAAAGGAGACCATTTGATATTGCGGAAACACCTCAAACCACTGCCCAAAAGGTGATGCATTTTTAAGCTTCTTGTTTCTTTTAGTGCGGTGAGACAACTTACCTGTGCAAAATATTTTGTTTATATCAAATGGCATACAAAAATGATTTTTTTAAATCGTTGTGTTGCGTAAGCAGATTTTTGAAATGGAATTGCTGGCACCAGAAATCAGTTGTGTAAATGTATATGCCTGAATGAGTGGTTCTTCTTTTTGTTTTTTTTTAAGGAAGGAAGAGATAGCAGATGTGAAAATGCATAGCTATTGGATATGTTTCACATACTGGGACTTTAAAGTTTACTGGATAAAAGAATGCATTGATTTTTAAAACCAGAAATAAACGTTTTGCAAAAAGATTTCTGGCTGCGTATGAAACAAGACTTTCTAATTCAAATTGAAAATTAGCTAATTGTGATGACTTGCTGTCAAATGCATGGTGACAGTTTTTTAAGTAACTGCTGTCTTATCTGTTGCATGGTGTCCTGTTCAGTGCTAGGGCTTTTCATTTGCAAAACAACCCAAAGTGTTTCCTCCGTGATTAATTCTTCCAAATACATAAACACATGAATAGCTTTACATGTATGTCTTTCTTGTGATTACTCGTTAGTAGAGTTAATGATGTGTATTTACTGGCTGGACTAAACCAAAAATTGGTCCAATTAGTTCAATAATTGGTTATTTACCAAATATTTTCTTAATTATTGCGAGTCCATTTGTATTTCAGCTGTAAATAATAGAAAATCTCCCATTAATTTCAGCTAAAGTGGTATTTTTTCTTTTAAAAACATTTTTTTCATGGCTTTTTGTTTCAAAACCCCATTCGTAGAAATTAGACGAAAATTTTACAGTTCCAGAGGATAATGAAAATAACACCTTCTGTCAGGAGGTTCATATTTAAGTCAAACCTTCATCCAGGTGAACTTAACACCTTGTGAAGATTTTTTTATTATTATTTCATTTTATTTGTAAAGGAAAAGGGCTGAAGGAAGTAGCATGCGTATTATCTGGAAATAGTCTAATTCTGTTATCTGTAAAATTCTTTACTACTACATGATTAAAACTTTACATGAGCAACCTAAGACAGAAGTCTCTGAATTGGTTGACCCTGAAGGTGTATCCTTTAGATGCAAATACCACTAATGTCAATTTTATCTCAGCTGGGTGTAAATTACATCCAGTTACAACAAGCCAATGCCACAGAGCTCTAGAAGGTGATAAAGCACCGGTGAAGGTGAAGAAGCTGGTGCAAAAAGGATTTCGCCTGTGGATTTGGGAACAGGGACCTGCCCAGCTAGATAGCATGGACCTCCCGTTGTGAGGAGAGGAGATGAGGCTGTAGAGAAGGTGGCTCTGCCCCTTTCTCAGCTTGCTCCTAGTCATTCTCCGATGAAAGCATTTTCAGGAGGGGTTAGAGGGAAAGCAGGGATCAGTTCGGCGGAAGACATGGGAGGGAAGCTCTCCTAAGTATGGAGGAGACGTCGGGTCTCGTCCGCAGGAGGCTGAGGTGTAGGTAGACATTTTACTAAACTAGAAGCAAATACAAGCTCTACAAAAATCGGTGCTGTGCATGCAGAGATATGTAGATAAACCTCAGTCTTACTCTTTCCGTATATTTTTTTCTCTTTTTTTTCCTCCAGATTTTCTGAAGCAGTTGCGTAGTAAGCACGATACTTACAAAAAGCAGTATCAGTAAATCAATAACTTTTTTTTCCCCACTTTTTTAAGGCGAACGCACGCAAGAAACCAATTCACCTCATGCACTGAAGAAGGATGTAGAAAACATGGGGAAAGGTAAAACAAATAAGGGCGTCTTGCGTTATAAAACTGCTCTTTGTTTTAATAGAATATGAGGATAATAGGGGGCACTTTTGTTCTGCACCATATTTTAAGCTTGTCAAGTAACATATGAATAATATATGGACCTTTGGGTGGATATAATTGAGATTAATGCATATATATCAATCAATACATGACACTGTAATATAATACTTTAAAATAATATATTACATTGATTTATATTCATGGCTTTCTGCACAAAATCTATTGTAGGTCTGTGCAACACACTTTTTTATTTTAACAGAACTGCTAAAATATTTTGTCTTATAGTAATGAATTGCTCTGCAACTGTTCTTTCAAGAACTATTTATACAGATTAGCAAAACCACTTTTCTTTTCTCTTTGTTAGATGAACTCCAGAAGGTTTTGTTTGAACAGATCGACTTACGGAGGAGACTAGAACAGGAATTCCAGGTGTTGAAAGGAAATGCATCTTTCCCAGTCTTCAGTAAGACACATACCTGTGGTTTTGGTGCTATTTGTGGGTGGTTGGTTGTTGACAGATTGTTAAAATGGGAGAGGTGTGTTCTCAGTTGTGTTAGCAGGATCTTTGGCTTAGTTGTGCTGAGGTTGATGGCACTTCTGCTGTGGCTGCTCAGGCTGCCTGAGCAGGTCATTTGTAGGGA